CTTAGCAATATCACTCACAGTAAGCTTCAATGGTGTAAGTGCAGCCTTATACAACCTTGTAGCCGATGCAATTGACTCATCGTCAACTTCTTTATTTCTCTTTTTGAATGCTGTCATTCCCCTTGTCACTTCTGTAGCGGCATTGATCCCGATTCTCCGCCAACCCACTCTAGACCCTCTCCCACCTGATGGAGTTCGCCGCGACTCCCTCATATTTCTCATTTTGAATATCGTAGCTGTCCTAACTGGTGTTTACCTTCTTCTCTTTAGTTCAACCTCATTTGATGCACCAACAGCTCGTCTCCTCTTAGCCGGTGCCATTTTCCTACTCATTTTCCCTCTGTGTATACCTGGCATTGTCTACGCTAGAAGTTGGGTTCGTCGTGTCATCCATTCTAGGATCCGCTTTGAAGGCTGGGGCTTGGTTCTTGTTGATGTTGATGATCTTGAGCTTCATAAAGAGCTTCTTTCACGTGAGAACAGTATGAATTATGGGAATGGATCTGTTGGTCACCTCTTGAACAATAACGAAAGACCTCCTTCAACTTTGTCATTTAGACAGAAGAGCGGATATCATAGCACCGAAGGGTGTTGTGGGGCAATTGTGAGCAAAGATCAGTTGGTAATGCTTGGGGAAGACCACACAGCACGAGCGCTTGTACGAAGGCTCGATTTTTGGCTATACTACTTCGCGTATTTTTGTGGAGGTACTATTGGTCTTGTGTACAGCAACAATCTAGGGCAGATAGCTCAATCGTTAGGACAGAGCTCCAAGACTTCAACCCTTGTCACACTTTATTCATCATTTTCCTTCTTTGGCCGATTGCTATCAGCTGCACCAGACTACATACGTGCGTAAGTATTGATAATGCACACTTCTTCTTTGCCTTATTTTTGTAAATTACATCAATTGATGACATAATGTGTGGAAAAAAAAAGTTGGTTATAATGTACCTGTGAAATTAGCGTGTGACGACATATCGTGTGGTCTAATATAATCCGAAGTCTGATCACTTCAGTATTTTGTTTTGCAAACTTTTGCAATTTTTACATATTTGATTAGCAAGACTAAGAAAATGTTTTTACCAATATTTTGCAGGAAATTTTATTTTGCAAGGACCGGATGGTTGACAATTGCACTTTTACCAACCCCAGTTGCCTTCTTGTTGCTAGCGTCATCAGGCAGCAGCTTGGCTTTGCACACAGGCACTGCACTAATCGGATTGAGCTCTGGATTCATTTTCGCAGCAGCTGTTTCAATCACATCGGAGCTCTTCGGGCCTAACAGCGTAGGTGTTAACCACAACATTCTTATTACCAACATACCAATTGGTTCGCTCGTCTATGGCTTTCTCGCAGCCATCGTTTATGATTCCAACGTGAGCTCTAACCTAAATATCTTAAGGACTGACTCGATTGTGTGCATGGGGAGGGACTGCTACTTCTTGACCTTTGTTTGGTGGGCATGCATATCGGTTCTTGGGTTAGGTTTAAGTGTGCTGTTATTCTTAAGAACCCGACATGCGTATGATCATTTTGAACATAATCGTTCAACACAACTCTTCTAACATGGAATGTTGTTGGAGGCAAAAGATAACACGTTTCTCAGGTTATTGCTAACTTTTGGAGGTAGAGGAGGAGCGTACTTTTCAGCAAAAAGTTTGATTGTCGATTGATGATGAAGACACTATTGAGGGAATACTTCAACAACGTATTTTTACATGCTGGTTAACCAAGAAATTGGTTATGGTTTATTTATTTATTTTATAATTTTTTATTTTTAATAAGAGAGTTTTGATTATGGTTTAGATTCATGTTCCATTTGTTCTAGGTTTCTCTTTTGTACATTAGACCAACTCTAACAATGGGCTAAACCCCCCCCCCCCCCCCCCCCCCCCCCCCCCAAAGATCCACTCCAACTCATGATCTAAAATTAATCTAAAACCTAAAACTCAAATGGAGGTCAAATACTAACCTAAGTTTAGGCCACAAATTGAAGTGGACTTCAGCTTCTGTGACTGAAACATGGGTTGTGAAGCCCAATTGCCCTCTGTCACTTGCTCCACGCCTAGCACGCAAGGCCTTCAACCTGCATTCAACCAAGGTGGACCCCACCCACGTGGGTGTGTCCCCCGGTTTGTCAAGTTTTGTCTGTATTCTTAGTTAGGCCCGTACTTGGTTGCCTGAGCCCGGCCTGCTGTTGGGTTTTGCAAGGCTTGGGCCAAGGGTTTGAAATCCCTGATCGGCCCAAATGTTAATCTTGATCCGGCCCGCTTTGAAAACTATATTATTAAAAAATAATCTACCTTGGTTAGGCTGGCTTATCATCACTGATTGTCAATTGTCATTGTCAAATAAGGGTTCTAGGTATAGTCTTTGACAAACAACTATTTTGGTTGTATTTGGATGAAGTAAAGAGTAATATTAATACCAATAATAGCATAAAGGATTGCACATTATGCGTGCATAAGGAGGAACTGACCCATTTGGCTACACATTTCACTTTGTTTTATGACAGCCTTAGTACTATTAAAATGACTGCTAATCATGTCTTTCGTGATCGAACTAACCATATTGAGCTTGATAATCATTTTATTCATGAGCGAGTCAAGCTTTGCACTCACTAGGACAAGTTTTGTCCCTTCAGTTCATCAAACCGTGAGTGAACCTTCTTCTTAGCTCGAAACTTTTCTCAAGGCCACCATGTTTGTAAATCAAATAACCTTATTTGTGTCTCAAGTCATTGACTTTGTGATATCAATACATCCATTACTCTAAATTCTACACTCACTTTTCTGCCCTAGCAAGTGAAGTGCTATACGTGATATACTTATTTTTTGTGTTATTTCCTACAATATTTAGATGTATTTTCTCTCTAAGGTAGCGTAGTTTTATATATATATGAATCAACAGTCCAATAATATTTCTTCAAGTCTGGTCCATTTTAATGGTGATTGATATGAATCAAACAGTATAGGTTTGTTTATTTACAAATGGGAATTGGGTGGTGGCGCTGACAGTGAGAAAGCAAAGGTACCAATAAACTGCTTTATTAACTACCAAGCAATTGCTTAAGAGCCTTGCGAATTACAGGCGTGGTTGACAAACATGATTATTTAACAAATTGGAAAAGAAAATCCAACGTGCATCGATTTTTCAAATCAAATACGTGCCTGGCAAATTACCCAAAAACCTGGCTTACTGTCGAAGTCAAAATCCACATGCAGATGCGTCTACTTAAAGTCTTAGAAGTCAAACGCTACGAAACCACACACATATGAACCCTAAGATTTGGCCATGAAGTTAAGAAGGATTTAGACGGAATAAGTTTACCACCAGAAAGCATTATGACTCAATAACATGATGCCATGTGTGAGTATTTTTCTAGAGGGATATTTTGGATGCGGTCCCTAATCCTTAACATTCTTTGACTAAAATCTTAGGGGTGTGCTATCCACACACCCCTTTTTACTTCTCACACACCTTTTGTTAATTTCTGTTCGTTGATCTTCTTCAATTCATCCGATCCGATGGCTGAAAACCTAAAAGGTGTGGGAGAAGTAAAAAGGGGTGTGTGGATATCACACCTCAAACCTTAGTGGTATTCAAAGTTTGATCAAAGTCCACTGACTTTGTACAACTCATTATATTACAATTAATATTTTTATTTTTATAGTTTTGACATTAATTGTTTGATATTTTATGAGATTTATAATCCTATAAATTTAAAATCCCTCATTATAATACTATTAGAAACGGTTACAATAAAAAAATTCAAACATTTTGATTGAATAAATGGATAAAAACTATGTAAAAATAAGAAATAATAAATGGCAAAAGAATGTATCCATAGTGTTAAAAAAATTGGTACATTTCACATATAACAAAGTAGTACATTAATAAAGAAGAATGAGTACATTATAAATAAATTAGGGTATAGATAAAAGATTAAAAAATTATAAGTACAAATGAATTTTTAAAAAAATATAGGCGCTAAAAGAAATTAATACATGGGTACAAAATAAAACTAAAAAGAAAATACTACAAATTTAAAAAATGTTGCAAATTAAAAGTGGGTACAAACCAAAAATATAAATATATGATACAAAGTTTAGGCATAAAACATAAATATACCATATGTAATTTTTATATCATTGATCAAATATACAATGTCACGTAACGGTATACACATGGGTACAAACAGAAATAAAACTTTAAAAAATATGGGCACACCAAGAAACTAATATATGGGTACAAATTAAAAATGAAAAAAAAAATTGGTACAAATTAAAAATAGGTACAAACTAAAAATAAAATATATGATAAAAAATTTAGCCATAAATATAATATACTAATTGTAACATTTTTAACACTAAAGGAATATATTTAAAAATAAAATATTTTATTATTCAAATAATTAATAATGTTATTAATATCCAAGGATCTTGATCAAAAATTGAAAATGAATAGGATTTTAATCAATGGAGTAGCAAAAAGAAGGATATGAACCTAATTTCTCCTTTTCTAGATGACATTGATTATTAGATCGGAAGGTTACAGTTGTCGTGAACCATTTCCATATAATAAGTTGCTCTCAACTAGAAGACTTACCAAAGTATATAACCCTGTGTAACTTCCATGGCCTAATTTAATAAGCTCCTATATTCTCACTCAACTCCACCCCATATAGCACCAAAGTCCATCAACTTAGAAATAAGTGAGGGGTCTTGCGAGATTCTAAATTTAATTCTCCCCTACTAATATCTGTTTGTGTCAAATTTTAAATTGATATAGTATTTTCATTGTGTATATTATGATAATTATAAATGAACTATATGACAACACACATGAGTCATCAAGGCCGTAACATATCATTGAAAATATATCAATCAACCCTTAAACAAGTCATCAAGGCCGTAACATATCATTGAAAATTCCTTCTTTCTTTTTATTTTTTTCAAAAAGAGGACGTTAGAAACGCACTCAAAGAAATTCCAAACGAGTCGCACTTGCTTCAGTAGTGGGCACCTCCCCACTTTCCCACACAGCCAGCCATATAATTTTATAAAAATTCAAAGCAACAATACACCTAAACATCATATTTCAGACTTTTTTCCCATTCAATTCCCAACCAATATGGCCTCCAACAACAAACCGAAGAAACTCATGGTTTCCTCTTCCCAATCAAATCTTTGCACCACCCTCTTCTTCATTGTCCTCTTCACCATCCCCGCCCTTTTCCTCCTCCGCACCACCACCACAACTTCTCTTTGCACCACCACTTTTTCCACCCACCCTGGCCCCACCTGGTCCGGCGATCTCCGAGAGGCTCAGTTCGCCTGGAACCGCCTTCCCTTTCTTCAAGACCGTCCTCGACCAACCGCCCTCAGAATCGCCGTCTTCTCAAGAAAATGGCCTATAGGCACCGTCCCGGGTGGCATGGAGCGCCACGCCCACACTCTCCACACAGCTCTCTCCCTCCTCGGCCATCAAGTCCATGTGTTCACCTCCCCAGTCCCTTCCAAGGAGCTGATCAAACTCGACAACCAACATGGAAGTCCGAGCCCATCGTCACCCTATATCCACTTCCACGAGGGAGACCCCGGTCGCTGGCGTTACAACAAAGCATGGGAGCAGTTTTTGGAAGAAAACCAACGTGAAAATTTCGATGTAGTTCACTCCGAAAGCGTGGCGCTACCTCATTGGCTAGCGCGAAGTCTCCCAAACCTCGCCGTGTCATGGCATGGGATTGCCCTCGAAAGCTTACACTCCGGCATCTTCCAAGACTTGACGCGCAAGCCTAGTGAGCCTATCTCCCCATCTTTCAACCAAAGCATTCAAGGGGTTGTCCCAAAAGTTTTAAATGAGATACGATTCTTCCATAACTATGCCCATCATGTTGCTATAAGTGATAGTTGTGGGGAGATGCTAAGGGATGTCTACCAAATACCAAACAAAAGAGTGCATGTGATTGTCAACGGTGTTAACGAAGCCGACTTTGGCGTAGATAATAACCTAGGCCAAGAGTTTAGGTATGCAATCGGCGTACCTAAAAACGCTAGTTTGGTATTCGGAGTGGCCGGAAGATTAGTGAAAGACAAAGGCCATCCTATATTATACGAAGCATTCTCAAAGCTCATAGCTAAGAATCCTAATGTGTATTTGATCGTGGCTGGTTCGGGACCGTGGGAAGAAAGGTACAAGGATCTGGGGCCTCAAGTTCTTGTTCTTGGGTCTATGAGTCCATCCAAATTACACGAATTCTATAATGGCATCGATATCTTTGTGAATCCAACGCTTCGACCGCAAGGTCTTGATCTTACTTTAATGGAGGCAATGATGAGTGGGAAGCCGGTGATGGCGTCAAGGTTTCCGAGCATCAAAGGTACTATTGTTGTGGATGATGAGTTCGGCTTCATGTTCTCTCCGAACGTCGAATCATTGTTGGAGGCTTTGGAGTTGGCTGTGAATGAAGGGCCAAGGAGGGCAGCTCAAAGAGGAAAAGCTTGCCGGGAATATGCAAATTCCATGTTTACGGCAAGAAAGATGGCATTAGCATACGAGAGGTTGTTTCTTTGTATAAAAAATGAAACATTTTGTACTTACCCGTGATTAATTAGACTGTAGATTTCGTATTACAAATTAATTTTCCATAGGAACTTGGTATCGTTTTTACACGATATATGGAAAATTTGATCGGCTTCTTAATTGGTTCCCAATTTATTAACATACATATATATAGCGGTCACTGGCATTTTGAAATCGTCAATTTGTCCTTATTTTCTAAATAAATAGAGATGAAAATTTTGAACCCAAAATACAGCGACTTCTAGAAAAAAATCCTATCAACCACTTACCTTTTTAAGTGTATTTTCTCTTCTATATTTCTTCGTTTTTAGAGTATATAATGTTGGGTTCCTAACATATAATGACTTTTAAAATTGTCTCTTTGCATATCTAGATTCCAATTTCAGAAACTAATCATATGAGCCCGACTTGTGGTGTGGCATTACGAGTCCAACTTTTTTTTGTTCTAGTCAAATTAGTGCACCCGTCGGTGTGTGTTAGTCGTGTCTGGCATCCCTTGTTTTCTTGTGGTTGTTGGGTCAGATTGCTTTTCTTTGTGGAATTTGAACGTGAGTTGTAATTAATGTTGTTTTGCTTAATTTGGATGTATCATTATATTATAGTCTTTCGTTTTATTTGCCAGAAAAGAAAAATCATGAATAAATTAAGAATTAGAAATAGCATGCTTTTACTAATTTATAATCGTAGTTTTGGCAATGGTATAACAAAGCATGTGATGAGAGTACTTCAAGGGTGTGTTTGTTTGGGCTCACAAACTTTCATTGGACTGGACTGGACTAATTATTAGTCCAGTCCCATGTTTGTTAGGCAACGGGATTAAGTTAAGTGGGATTCAATCGGACTCGCTCCGACTATCTCCTTCGCTAAGAGTTCTTAGCGAGCATCCTCAAAAATGACGGGATTGCTAAGACGGTCTTCGAAAGAGTTCGCTCGTCCTGCTTCTCGTCTTCGTCTTGCCGGTCCCGCTCCCTCATCCTAGTCTTGCTCTCTCATCGTCGTCCTGCTCTCTCATCCTCGTCCTGCTCGTCCTCATCCTACTCCTCTCGGATTTGGTTTTGCAGATCTGAAATTATTATTGGTTTTTTTTTATCGATTTTGTTGTTTTGGGTTCCAAATCTCTGAAATTTTTGAATTTTTATCACAAAAATTGGGTGCGATTGTGTTCTGTGATTGGGTGTGTTTTTTAATTGATTGCTACCCATTTATTTTCAATTTTTTGACAATTGATGATCCTGGAAATCGTCCATCTCTCCTGAAAACGGGTTTGTGCTTTTTGGGTTTCTATCTTGAGAATCATGTGAAAAGGGTTTTTGATTTTTGGTTTCTGGGTTTTTGAATTGGCGGCATATTAAATGGTCTTTTAATCTTGAAGTTGTTGTCTTTGTTTGGTTTTTGGTTGTGGCTATGTTATATTGGGAGGGTCTGGGTTTTGTTCTTTCAGGGACCTCTATCAGCATGGGATTTTTCAGTGCTTCCATTATAGCTGATTAACTTCTGATTCTGATGATTTTACACCTTTCTGGAGTTGTTGATGTTCTTTTGCGAGTTCATTTCTGTTTTCATTGATTAAGGGTTTTAATTTGTTTCCCTCTTTGTTGTTGCTTGTATTTATATCTAAGGTTGTATGATTTTAATTGTCAACAACAAATAATATGACCCAGATTTTTACTTCTCAATTTTACAGTTTAGTAAAGATTTTCATCTTTATTGGTTAGCTGATTAATCTGAAATTTGTTTGTTTTAAACTTGGTGGGCGTGGAACCCAGAGAATGTTATGGAGTATCAATATCCCAAGTAAAAACTTGTTTTGTTCAACTTGGTGGTGTAAACAGTACTATTTTTATTATCTTGCTTCTTAATAATCCCGGTATACTACAAACCGAAACGCTTTCTAAATTAGTCCAGCTTAATCCTTCTAGCTAGCTAGTCTAGCTTAGTCTTTGAAGCTAGTCCAGTCCGAGATAGTCCGGTGCAACAAACGCACCCCAAAGGATTTTATAAACATAGATTTGTCGTAAGTTCTGTTCAAGCTATATATATAAGAAATAATTAATAATTGTGGCACATTACATGTGATTATTGAAATTGAAATAATTTTTTTCAACTAGTAAGTGTTTTTATCATCCCAAATAAATACCATATTTAGAAATTCTCATTTTGATGCCTCACATCAGTTAAATACGCAACATTTTTTTTTAAATGCATTTTTTATTTCACAAATAACCTATACCTCATCCTTTATAAGTGTAGAGCTTCTTACCTTAACTTCAAATCTATCCAAGAGATCATGCTTGGAGAAATAAAAAATTACTCATTCTCTTAAGCATTATGGTCGGATTAAACATGTTTTTAATTATGGTAATTTTGCTCTTGGCGAGTAGTGACACACCCCGATCTGGAATGTCCACTAGGACTCCGAATCGAGATGTGCTGGCCAACACCTGGAAGGTGACGAAGCCATAAAGTGTGATGATGTGGAAAATGTGAATAAATTTAACCTAAGAGTGCCTAAATACCATAGTGCGCTGGTGAGCAGGGAATGAACCCACTTTCACGTGACGTTAGAACATAAGTTAAGTACAGTTGGAGTGAAGGGAAGTGAATATGGACCCTCATATACCTCAAGTACCACCTATCCTGGATTTTGCCAAGAATCCTCGTTGATACGAACTCAGCAAAAATTAGAAACCTGGAGGGCGCCAAAACAGAAAGTGTGTGAGTGGGTAAAAACAAAGCTTTTCAAAACATTCATCAATTATCAAATGTAAACCCTCACCGTAAAACATGTATAATTTCCAGAAAATAGAATATATACATATATCGAAACCATACTCGAAATAGCAAAATCCACATATATGCCATGTCAAATATCTCAGTATCAATAATGAGTAAACCAGGTGAAGTAAATCAATGAAAGTAATATGTCAGCCAGAGCCACCTATTGTGGCATGTATGCCTGAACCCATAGCTCATCAAGTATACCTACACACGAGTTCGAACCACGCCTACCTAGTGGTCTGTTACGACGAAATAGGGTATTAAGAAATTATACACTCAAGTGTTTGACGATCACGTGAAGACTGTGTGAATAATCATGGGTCGCATACGAGTCGGAACCACCTATCGTGGTCTGTACGACAAGCATGTGCACCTAACTTGGATCCAAGGTGAGCGTATGGTGCGGGAGGTGAACATCACGTGAAGGCCTGTGCCCTGACCACGGGCGAGAGCACTAACACCGACATGCAGGTTTATTATGAGCTCTCAATTCATCTCTCAACATACTCATCAACTAATATTTAAATCAATCTCTCATAACTGCTCACCGGGTACTTACCTGAGCGTCCACAGGCGTCAATCACAAAATACTATACTAACTATATAATCATCCCTTTAATAATTCCATAAATCCAATAAGTTACACTGAAAACAAAAGTCCACTCACCTGGAGTTCATGCTACAACTCCCTAGCACAACCATAGAGGCGTCACGAACAATTATCAAATCACAACTCAGAATTCTTATCAATAAAATATGTAACTTACGTAACACACATCCCTACGAAGTTAGATTCGGAAGATCCACACCACGGATTTCTGATCCTTACTTCCAAAGATCCACATTATACATCTAGAACAACATTCTAAAGTTCCATTACGATCCAACAGTCGGATCTCCGCCAATTGCCAAAACCAAGTGGCGGTTAACATTTTATTTTATGAACTTACAAATCCAATTCGGGAAGATCCGTGTATCGGATTCCAGATCCATAAGTTCCTATGGTGCTCAAATATTACGTACTATAACATATTAAAGTTTGGTGACGATCCAACGGTTGGATCGTCGATTCACATTTTTACCAAGTAATGTAATGAATTTAGGTTCAAACGATCAACCTACGTTATACGAATATCATAATTGAATTCCATACATCTAATTTGGCTTAAAATTAGCATCGATAGTCCCCTGGCCACGCGCCGCCGCATGCGCAACCCCGACTCGCAGAAAAAATCAACTATTTCTAAAAATTACCAAATTTTACAGAATTGTAGGTCTCAACGAGTAAAGTAAACTTTATACCTGTGGCCAAGTCTAATTTGGCCGAGAAACATCTGAAATCGCCCACGAACCGCTGGAACCCTAGAATTTGGGTGTTCTTCAATTCGATCAATCCGCAACACTACCGCCCTTAAAACTGTTTGAGCTTTGTTCCTGGCCTCCAGAGAAGTGCTTTGATGGTGGAGATCGATAGGAATGGTTGCAGAAAATGGCGAATTGTTGCCGGGTGTCCTCTATGCCCACGACTTCGATTCTTCCAAAACCGAGCCCAAACAACCCCATTTTTGTATGATAAAGGAAGGTGGAACGATGGTGAGAGGTTTCCAAGTGGAAACTCGACTTAATTCGCTGGAATTTCATTGAAAACTCGTCGGATTTCTATGCCTATAAACCGGGCCGGCGTGCTGGTCTAAGAACTCTCCGGGTTGAAGGGGTTCGGATCCCCTCCCTCTTTCCTTTCCCTCTTTCCTCTCCTTTCTGGTTGGTTATTCCCTCTTCCTCTTTTCTTCTGATTCGTTCCTTCTGTCTCTCCCTCTATCTCCAATTGGGTAGTTCTGCCCAGTCTCTTTTTCTCTAAATAACCTTAAACAAATATAATAATACTTATGAAATATATAAAATAATAAATGGAAAACCTTAGAAACGTACTTTTCAGAATTGTAGTTCCGTAAAACTTTAACCGTAACTCCAAATTCACTTCCTCTTGAGTCTATGCGTTCGTATCACCAGTTACTACGCAAATACGCTAAAAGAATAAGTCGTATGTCTCACTAAACGTTGGTCAACGAAAGTCAAGATCCTTGCCTCTAAGGGCATTTTCGTAAAGTCACGCTTTTCAAATTTGTAAAAACATAAAATTAGGGACGGGTCGTCACAAGTAGTGCATTTTCAACAAATCTTTGGTTGTGGTTGTGTGCAAAAAATATTTTAGTATAAAGTATGCATGAGATGTGTATACCTATATTTTCTTAGGACGGGTGATTACTAACAAAAGTTGTAGGGCTCTTGTAGCATTGGGAAGACTATGCCATTTTATTCTTGTGAATAACACTTTTGCACATGAACACTATGTAACAACAAAATAATAGAAAGAATTGACCGGTTTTTAATTCATTGGGCTCTTTCTCCCCCCCACCTGTTTCTATTCCTTCTTAGGCAGAAAACTAAATGTGAGATCTTTTCAATTGTTAGGTAGGATATTTTGCTTCTATGCTCAAACTAATTTTAATTGTGCTTTGACTTTGCTAAAAATATTTATTTTATGTTTGTGGAGTGAACAATATTAAAGCAAAATATTATAACAACTGTCGTGCCTCTTCTGAAAAGTTCGTGAAGCAGCACAAGAAATAGATTAATTTTATATATATATTTTTTTTTGCCCAAACATCTTGACATCTATCTGGCTGAAGACACTTGACCTTATAGTAAATACAATCTGCAAGCGATCTTGAGAACAAATGTAATTAACAACAGTTCCACCACAAATATACTTTTTGTCTCCCTCAGACGTAGTTTGTGATCACAAATCAATAACCTTCTAAATGCTTAGTTCTTGTGAACAAACAGACAGACAGATTTAGAAGCAAGATCTTGCTATGGAAGACACTATTGTCCCACCATATCCTAAAGGCGAATAAAGAGAAGCTGCAGATCTCACACCAATAAACGTAATCGCACCATCGAAATTTCAGCGGGCGTGTAGGCAAGTTTGTAACTCGTTACTCGCCTCAGAGAAAACTGAAACTTTTTTCTGTTTCTTTTGAACTCCAGGACACCAGTAACCAAGAATAATAACAAATCCAGAAAGTAGAATGCCGAGCAGTACCAGTTTATCAGAGAAGTAGAAAGATGAGCTACATTGCCGAAGCCGGTCTATGCAAAGTAACGTAAAATTCGTTGACTGCACCAATGAACTGTTGTTGAGCATGCATAAAATTGACATACTGATTTAACTGCATAAGAGAAAGTTGTGCGAGTTATCGTCAAGTATTAGAGCACCTACGACTACGATACAACTCTGGTGATCAAAATGGTCGCATCAATGAGCACTAGTTTTCTGACCAGAAGACATTGGTGTAGAAATTGGTTTGGGCCTCAGTAAATTTGGTACGGGAAACAAGTCGAGCATACTTAGATTGACACATATGATGGTAGTTCCATCGTACTTGACTTCTACACCCAAGAAAGTAATTCAACGCTCCAAATCCTCATGAAAACAAAGTACTCAACTTCAATTAACTTGGACATATGATGAGGATTGTTCCCAGTTACCAAAATATCATCCACATAGATGAGAAGAATAAGATACACCCCTTTGTGATTGAACACAAATAAACTGTAAATCACAAGTGGATTCCTGAAAACCAAGTTGAAGCAGAAAATCTGAGAATCGCTGAAACCAGGCCCTAGGAGCCTTGTTTGAGGCCATAAATACTGCGTTCAAGTTTACAAACATGTTAGGTTAACTGCTAATCAACAACCAGGAGGCTGGCGCATGTACACTGTTCGGTTCAAAACCATCAAAAACATTTTGACGTCAAGCTGCCTCACCAACTCTTGTAACTGCAAAGATTAAACAAGTCGAATCGTACTTTGGAACGGGACTGAAAGTCTCATTATAATCTTCTACCAGCTTTTGAAAATCCCATTTGGAGACAAGCCGCGCCTGTAACGTTAATTGGTTTCATCTGCACGTCTCTTCAATTTGAAAACCCATTTGTTTGGTAGTAATTCATTTGGATGAAACGGACCAAAACGCCAAGTTCCACACCGGGCAAAGAATTTCTCTGTACACATTGCATTCCTCAAATCCTGGGATTGACCAGCTTGACTGAAACAAGTTGGCTCACTAGGAGAATTATTATATAGTCAAGCATGGCCCTTTGGGTTGGTTTGAATACCAGACTGGAACGTGTAGAAACACGATGGCCTGTAACCTGGGACACCACTGGGCTGATCCGTAGATATTTCAACTTGTTTCACGGGAAAGTATGGTTGATGAACAGACGAGGATGAACTAGGTAGTAGGGTTAGGCTTGACGGACAACAGAAGTAATGTGAGGAAGATACTGTGCAGTGTTTGTGGGAGGTTTGTATGAGGTCGGCGAAGTGGTGGAAGAGGTTTGACTGTTCACGGGTGGGCTTATTATGTCAGAGGACACTGAATGATGGATGGAGGAAGGGGTCTCAAGTACATTGGTGATTGAGATATAGGAGATAGGGCAACACAAGAGACAAGTCAAAATTATAAACTAATCAGAGAGGATTAGGATGTATCTGAGTGTTGACGTTTCGAAGGTTTGTGAGGTCCTTAAATTGAAAAAATTCCCATCGAAATAAGACGTGGCGAGACAAGTAAACTTTAGTGGACATGCCTTAGCATTTGTAAACAATATGACTCATGTAACCTAAGAACACCATGTTTATTCAAGAGGTTTAGGCGCATAGCAATACGTTTGTGAAATCCCACTTCAGTTAGTAGAAAATGCCTGAAAAAGCATAACGACTTTTATATTCCCCCCCTTCATCACATTGAAGGGTTTTAATTTTCAAATTGAACATGTTCTCCGATAGTGGCTTTAAATTTTACAAATATTTCAAAAACTTCACTTTTGTTTTTCATGGGAAAAATCCAAGAATATCGAGAGTAGTCATCCACAAACAACACATAGTAACGAAAACCTTCATTAGAAACAACTGGAGAAGACCAGACATCTGAATGCAAAAGTTGCAAGGGAAACGTAGAAATAGACTCTGAGACATGGAAAGGTAACTTAGTACTCTTTCCTAAGGGACATGACTCACAAAAACTTACATCAGATAATAGAATAGTACTAGTTTATTGGAAATTAAAAACTTAATTATTGAATTGGAAGGGTGGCCAAGCCGAGCATGCAATTTTTGCACTAAACATCGTACCCCTACCAAGGCTGAAAATAAAGACTTGAACCGTCCACTACCACTGGAAAATGGATATAACCCATTCTCACATCTCCCTCGGAAAAGCGTCTTCTGTGTCTTGAGGTCCTTAACAAGGAAAAAATATGGAATATTAGGAGATAGCAATATTGTCTAAGGTAAACCTATGGGCAGATAGTATGTTTTGAGAGGCAGTGGGGCAATGAAGAACAGTTTTTAAATCAAATGAACAAGTTTTCGTATGTAATTGATTGGAAAAAAATGAGCAATAGTGATGCCAGAATCATTACCTACACCTCCAATAGTTTCATTACCAGTGTATTCTTTGGGATTAACCAAGTTATGAAGTTCATGAGTGACATGTGCATTTGCACCCGTGTCTAACAGCCAGGTACCATTAGATTGCTTGATTGAGCTGGTGTTGAGAGTGAGTAGGGTGAGATTTAAGCGACATGGGCATGACCCCGTTGATAGCAATCATCCAGGATGTCCCGGTTTACCACAGATTTGGCAGATGATGCGCTCACCAGCACATGAGGACCGTTCACCATTAAAAGGCTGGTTGCGCTGGATGATATTGTTACAAGGATTGTTGCCCCATTGATTGGACGTAGAACCACGAGTAAATGAGGACATACCTCTTCCATTCCCGAGCACCGTCCACTCGTCAACGGGTGCGATTCGGCAACAAACCAGCCAGGGTCATCATTCATTCAGCCATCACCCGTAGTCAACAGCAATGCCTCAAGGGTGGGATAGGTGATGGGAGTATCCGAGCTTGAGCAGCTTGACAGCACTTACTGTTCCAACAAAATCTGTACAATTGTTCATAATCTCACAGTTTGACCCGCGAGGGCAAGATTGTCAGCAATCGCATTCATGCGATCAAGGTAATCCGTAACAGAAAGACTACCTTTCTTGGTCTGCAGCAACTCATTCCGCAGAAACAAAATTCGATTCTGAGAAGTGGAGGCATACCGTTGCTCTAAAGCTTCCCAAGTGGCACGCGCACTCCTCTTGCTTGCCACAGTTGACAGAAACCAGAGTGCCAAGGAGTGATTCCAATCTTGTTGCAAGATGCAATTTTGGGCAAACACCAAGGAATCCCATGCCCTGATTTATTGCAGGAGTTGAGGTAGCAGTGGGCAAGTTGTTCTATGGCTTGCACACCAAGTGGAAACGGATGAAGGGGATGGGTTTGGATTGGCCAAACCACAGATAATTGGATAGAACTGACGTTGTTTTCAGCCATTGAAGCGTGGAAAAAAAAAAGGATCAAGTCGTTAGACTATAAGAGGCTCTGATACCATGTAAAACTATAACACACTTGAGGTTTCACTTCAGTTGCATACCCAATCAACAATGGGCTGCATGTATTTATAACAACTTTAGGATTACAATGGAAGTTTGAAAACCCTAAATACAAGCAGTTTTTAAAAATACAAACAGAAGCGTAAAGATTACAAACAGAACTTTGCGTACAACAAATATTTGAAATACAAAACCCTAGAAACTAGGAGTATCAGAAAAGGATAAGAATTTGATGAATATCACAACTCCTCAAAACTTGGCAAGCACGCTGGTCCTTGACTTCGTCTAACAGGTGCGCCATTAACTTTTTTTTTTTTTTTTTTTGTAAAACTTATATTACTCGTCTCAATTTAGGTATTATGAGACTATTGTCGACAATATGGCTACAAGCGATCTTTCTTGTTACTGTCATGTGTGTTTGTTGTTCTCGAATCTAAAGTTGAGAAAGACCAAAACTTCCCATATCGTATATCGACGGAAATTTGAACATAATAATGGTTAAATACGTTTATAAAAGATTCTAGATTAACTTTGTAAGAATAATAAAAGCCTCAAATAGATCAAGATTATGTTAACCAAAAGCCAAAATCTTGACTGAATCAAGAACATGAAAGAACAAAACTAACATGTAGAGATCGATGAAGATGATGCCGTAAAAAGTCCCAATATATATAGAGTAGAATCTCTCCTTTTTGTCAAAAGCTTAATGCATGCACTAACAATAGATCTTAGTTCAAGATCTGGTGTGCTTTTTATGAGAGTAGAGGTCTATTAATTATACTATGAAATAGTTCCCCCGATTTTCCTATTAGAATCTAAATAGGAAACTAACCTTTTTTTCCCTTGTTGAATGCTAACTGACACGATAAGATCTGAATATAGCTTTTTTAAGTCTAGGTTTAGTTGTTTTTAGCCTTCCTTGTCAATGATTAAGTCTTTCCTTTGTATTTCTAAATCACACAAAAGTTCAAACCTCAATTATGTTGGATGATTTAGTTCTTAGGGATCTTGCAATCCAAGAAGTTCAAGTTGATCGTGTGAAGATCTCAAGTTGTGGCTTCATTGGAAGGTTTGTTCATGCATATGCATTTCATGAGTTTCTTAAGCATTTTGACTGGTGAAGTTGTCTAGTCATCTGATTCGCAAGTGAATCTAGCACACTTTTTAAGAAAATCCATGTGGGCTTGTCTGACTCCCTACACTCGATAGTGAGTTTCTCACCCTTGATTTCTTCAGATTAAGTCCTTGTGTGTTGTTTTTTCTGCTAAACCAGAAAAAAAGCATCTTGATAAAACCTTGGAGTGGTGGTTGTTTTTTTTTGGGTGGTTCGAAATTCATCTTCATAGTGAGGGCGTTTTGTTTTTGCTTAGAAACTCTAGAATCATAGAGCATTTTCATGGATAAAGTTCTTCATTGAAAATCTTAAAATTATCCTAGAAAATTCTTGCTTAAATCTTTCTTTTCAAGATTATTTATTTTTTGTAGAAAAGGATCATCTTTGAGATTGTTCTTTGTTTTCTAGCTATTCTCCTTTCTTCGTTCTTATTTGAAAACCCTAGTTGCAAATGATTTTCTCTTGCTTAAAATTGGGTGCTAACTCACCAAAATCTTCCATGAGAATGTTTGGTTAAAGTAGTGTTGTCTCAAGCATATTTCTAAATCTTCTGATAGATCTCTATATGGGATTCTCAGTTGATTTCTTCATTCTAAATGTTTTGTTTGAAGAAGCTAACTTTGTAGTTTCGAATCTAAATTTGCATATCATATTTCCATATCATTTTCACAGTTTCGTGTCTCCCACCAGTGCGACATGAGATGAGCTCAGAAGATGGAGCTACCATGTTTATGAAGACCGAGCTTAATGCTCTTAGGCATGATTGAAGATTGCACAAAGGTACAAGCTGCTCTTTAAATTAGTTTTAGCAATTTGAGCTTGTGTGCTATTCCTTGTATGCACCTTATTTTCACTAGTTGATCGAAGTCCCTGGGGACACCCGTTTTTTAACCCACATAGGATTTTTTCGGTCAGAAAACCTATTGTGTTAATGTTGAATTGTTCTTCATATACTGGCATTTCTGCTATAAGTTGTGTATGTCGTTCGTGCCTTGTTATGATGCATGATTAAGTACAGATTGAGTTGTACAAAAAAGGATCCCAAATGTGCCTTTATATATTTACATAGGCAACTAAACATTCCTCGGGTTTCAAATGCGTCTTTTTAACTTACAATATTACACACTTTCTATATTACACTTGATATATAGCCCTGAGTCATCGAGACTTCTCAGCCTTGAGATTATTTCTGATTTGCAGTTGCAGTTGGAGACGATTTCCTGATATTCCGAACTCTGTGACCATCCATTCTGGCATTAGCAAAAACCCCATTTCTAGCAGATTTTGGTGATGCCGGCCAATGTCCACAAGCGACGGCCATGTCCTTCAAGTTTTGAAGGCTTTCAAGAGTCTCGATAATGGTTGGCATTTTAGGCCTGTCTTTAGGGTTCATACTTATGCATTGTAATGCCAGATGGGCAATCTCCTTCGCTCCCTTGACAGAATACTGGCCAGCAAGTCTCGGGTCCATAATATAGCGCAACCTCCGACTACTGCTAGTCAGGTAAGGTTTTGCCCAATCAATCAGATTTTGCTCGCTCTTTGGTCTCGATTTATCCATTGCTCTTTTTCCTGTTAGCAATTCTAGCAGCACCACTCCAAAGCTGTAGATGTCACATTTTGTTGTCAATTGCCCTGAAAATTTGAAATTCATCCAAATGTCAATGCATTTGATTAACGAAATGGGTCCTTTGAATTGGACTCAGTCGACCCATCTAGTTATTAATTGACGTTATCATCTCCTTATGATAAGTCTTTAATATAAGACAATAGTCAAAGGAAGTTTCCATTTTTCTAAAATATTCTAATGGAACTGGATTGAAATCTACTTTTCTATCAATATTAAATCATCAACTAGTTAATTCGTAAAGTTAAACAGTAACCCTGGATAGAAATTCTTAATATAACCTAACGCAATTTCTTTCTCTGCATACGAAACTCCTGATATGCATACTTCATTGCACTAAAAAAGCAATTCTAAACGGGGCTATATCATATAGCCTATATGTACTGAGGAAAAAAGTTGGGAAGAATATATATATATAGCATTTTCAAGTTCTACCTGTTGAGACATATTCAGGGGCAGCGTATCCATAGGTACCCATTACTCTTGTTGTGACATGCGTTTCTGATCCTTCAGGCCCCATCTTTGCAAGTCCAAAATCTGACAGCTTTGCTGTGAAATCCTACCAAATACAGAGAAAATGCAGCTTATATAATACTTAGATACCCTGGAATTAAAAGTAGGTTTTGTTTTTGTCATTTTACTATAGCTGTATATAAAAACTATAAAAATAGAAAGAAATATTGCACTTGTCGTCAAATATTCATTTCGTAAAATGACTTTCTGAGATTGTCAATAATAACTCCCTCTATCTCTCGAGTGCTAAACTTACAGAATCTAGCAAGACATTTGAAGTTTTGAAATCCCGATATATAACAGGTGTCTCAGCCCCATGCAAGAAAGCAAGGCCTTTGGCTGCTCCTATTGCAATCTTTAATCTTGTGGCCCAAGGCAATGATACTGAAAGCCCTGCACTCACAGCAGATAATAATTATATAAACCCTAAAATTGTAATTAAAAATAATTATAATTGTTGGACTTGGAGATAGTATGCAAACGCACTTTTGAATAAGTGATTCTCTAAGCTGCCTCGAGGCATAAACTCATAAACAAGGAGTCTTTCTTCGTTCTCGCAACAGTAGCCAATCAATTTCACCAAATTCTGGTGCCTCAGCTGCCCAAGAAATATCACTTCTGCCTGCAACAAATTAATGAGTTATGAATAAATTTGTCAAAACTTACCAAAACTTAACTGGAAAAGTCTCTCTTTCTTTTTTTTCAAATCAAATCATTTTATTAGAGATGTGCATCCTATTAAGATTTGGCGATTAGTCCACATACAACTCTTTGTTTATTTATATGAGGACGCTTTATTAGTCAATATCTTCTAAAAGTTGATCTTGTTTGCTTGCTTTCGGCCTAGTTAGCTTCTGTCCCTTCTCTTTTGCTTTTGATCAAGGCCTCTATAAAATAATTGAGGTGATTTTTACACATTAATTTTAACTTTTCATACATCTCTCTTTATTTATGGTATTCAAACTGAATTAAATTATCAAAAATAACAAACATGATTAAAATAATTACAGGAACCTTGAACGAAGAAAAAACACAACCGAAAGGGCTAATGACTAATAAGAAATTAATTGTTGGGTTAACCTAAGTTGTCAGACAATCCTTCTTATATTATAAAAGTTGAAACTCTTTATAAAGATTATTTCTGAAAACACGATTATTCGATCAATTCAAAAATGATCATTATTAAAAATAGTAACCGTTATCGTTATTTATTAAATTAACCCCATTTTTTCTACTCGGTCTTATGTGGTACGTAGTAATATTATTTTTCTCAAAATTGCTATTATGAGAAACTATTTGTATCATTATTTATAACATCTTTCTAATATAGATGGATCCACATGTTAAAAGTCTCACCTCTATTAGAGAGATAATAAAATTAGATGGTAAGTGTAGCATACTCTGTTTTCCTTCACATGTCTTTATCATGGCAGAAAATATATAGTAAAATTAAAAATCCTTACGAGCCATTCGCGGTGTCCTTGTAGGCCTTCAATGTCGAGGAGCTTAACTGCAACGGCCTGAGCCTTCAAACCCTGCCTCAAATTCTCATCAACATAACCCTTATGCACGGTTCCAAACCCACCTTCTCCCAGCAAAAAATTGACATAAAAATTCTGAGTCACAGCACGCAGCTCACTCAGTTGAAAATCATACAAGTCCGACCCAAAAGACTGTGCAAGATCCTCGTTAATCCGTATGGACGAAGAACGGCTGAGATCAGAAAAAGACAACCGCCGGAAGGACGGCAGTTGGTGAGCAACATCCTTGGAAAGATCAGACCTTGATGGCCTGCACCTGCTGAAGTTGCGAAAGATTGTTTGGTCTTCAGCTGAACAGCAGTTTGCTGTGAATGGTCTCCAAGGCTTTGAGTGCTGCTGCTGCCGCCTCGTCATTATTGGAGGAAGAGAATAGTTAGTGGAAAGAGATATGAATTTGATGCAAAGAATACCACCTGAACCATGGTTTCTTGTCCTAAAAGTGAGCTAATTTAACAGAGAAGGAGGTGTACTTTCTTTCTTCAACTGCTCTAACCACTCTACTAAATGGGGGAATTGTATTTTGTTTGCAATCTGCTTCTTTAACATTATCCGTACTTGTCATTTGTCTTTTACGTAATGTCTTCTTGTAGAAGTTAGAAGATGTTCTGCAATTGAGTAAATCTTAATCTGTTATTTTTTCTTCAGGGACACACAGTATGACCAAATTTTGCATCAAACCCACTTTTATTTTATCCGCGTTAGAACCAATCCAATAGAGATGATATAATATATGTATATATATATATATATATATATATATATATATATATATAAAACAAATACATAAATAGATTTCGAATTTAACTATATGATTAAACCCCATTACGAATAATTTAATGAAGTTGTAAACAAAATCCCAACAAGTCACTAACTTGTTTTCGGAAGATAGACGCTTACAAGGTACATATTATATAGTTGAGCCAAGTCAAGTACAAGATGCTCAAGCTCCACTCAGTTAAAATTGTTCTTGCTCAAGTACAGCTCAAGCTCAGCTCTAATGATATATCCAAGCTCGTGCTCGGCTCATTTGTAAACTAAACTCGAGCTTTTGTTTGGTTCGACTTATTGAAAATTTATGTAAACAAATAAAAAGTGTAAATGTTATCTTTTGTACGTAATGGTACTATATACAAAATCTTTGTACAATTTTCAATTTCGCAGCATTGGGCGGATATCTCTTGCTAGTCAATAGATAGGGCTAGCCCGATAAGGTATTTAGTTTTAAAACATGACAAGGTTGCCCATAGTCACATATGGGCATGGCTTAGGCTTATCCATGTGTTGATAATATGATTGTATTTGTAAAGTCATTTATGATGATACTTGTAAGTCACGTGCGCAGAGTTGCATTTGCTTAATGGGATTGGGATAGTAGCCAATGCCACTATGCCATTGCCAACAAACTTAATGAGCTCTAAATTTGCTTCACATTTTTGTCGTTTCTTCTCTAGAAATTAGAATCCTCATCCTTCTTTGATCTTAAGATTAAATGGCAATAGGGGCAATGCTGTGCAATGAGCTGGTTGAAAGCGCCAACAGGCACTATCTATTTCTGTATGATGAATGATGATGCCCTTGACACAAAAACACCAAACTTGTGTAATCACTTAATTGAACAAATCAAAAGAGAACTAAGAAGAGTTTGAAGACCACACAAATTATAAGACGCAAAATAAACCATTAACCCAAAACCTTGGAGCATAAGTCTCAGACGGAGGCGAATTACTTGAGATCGGAACAAACCCAGAGTAGTAGATTAAGTCACAACTTCATTAATCCCAATATCTATCAATACACCCAATTAACAAAATAAATTTATGAACAAACAGCCACCGTTAAGCCCTGCAGCCTTATTCATGGATTTCAACTAAATCGCTACCAAATAAAGAATACAAAATTGAAGTAATCGTCCATGGATGAAATGCAGCTAATTAAATACAAGGGTTAATTAATAGAACTTTTACGGGATAATTTCTGGTATTACTCCTTTCGAAATAAATACATGTACAATCATTGTTCAACAAGGAAACAAATAATAAAGCTTATAAACAAACCTACCTAATAAAGGACTCCTAGTATTTACATTCCCTTTTTTCCCTAATATTGACTCACGACTAACACTCCCCCTCAAGTTGATGCATAGATATCACACATGCCCAATTTGACAAGTGAGTCACCAAACTTTCGACTACATACCGCATGAGTTAGAACATCTGCAAGTTGCTCCTTCGAATTCACAAATGGTATTGACACAATTTTCCTCTCAAGTTTCTCTTTGATAAAGTGTCGATCAACTTCCACATGTTTTGTCCTATCATGCTGTACCGGATTATCAGCTATATCTCTCGCTGACTTATTATCACAATATAGTCTCATGGTTTCCTTAGGCTTGAACCCAAGCCCCCCCAAGAAGTTTTTGAAGCCAGAGAATCTCTCAAATGCCGTGAGCCATCCCTCTATACTCGGCCTCAGCTGAGGATCTAGACACCACCTTTTGTTTTTTACTTCGTCATGTAACCAAATTTCCTCCTACAAAAGTAAAATATCCCGAAGTAGACCTTCTGTCACTCACACTTCCTGCCCAATCGGCATCTGTGAACCCCTCAA